CATTTCCTAACTACAGACACTGCTTCTGTACTTCTTTTCTAAAATTGTTTAAATTCTGCAAAAAAAACAAAAAGTGTGTTATCACACCTTAGCCTCGTAGCTCTTACGCGTGGGTATTGGACGAGAGTCCAAGGGGCTACTGTCTATCAAACCTTACTCGGCCATGAGAATAAACTTGAAACTTCTATAAAAAGCCATGGCAGATGTTTATTTCACCAAAATTCTTAAATGAAATACCAAGTGTAAATTTCTATATCAATGTGTATCTTATGAAAAAATAAATTATATGCTAAATCATACAATATACAACAATGTTCAAAAGATCTCAGATATTGTACCACAATCTCTTGTGTAATAAGTCAAACATGTACAAAGATGTTGATCTTATGGGGTCAACATGATTCAACAAACACCTCTTAATAAAAATTAAGACAAGACTATGAAGTTAGTAAAATTTTTGAATTAATTTTTTCAACATCAAATGATGTAGTTATCTTCATCTTACTATTTTTTTCAAAAAAAATATATCAATGACATGATGTTTAGCTTTTGATTAAAAAATAATTGAATTGTCTTACTATAGCCATACTTAACATGTTACGATGAAATTTCTTGGATCAAGAAGTGATATTTATAACATCACTGGCCATTAAATATAATATATTCTTCTTTCATGACACTAAACATATAGAAGCATGTTTCTTTCTTCTATTTCCTGGATTATGGTCTACGTATATCCATTTGCAATAATTAGCATAAAAATAAATTCAAAATAATTTACAAACATGTGTGCATTCAAACTTGTGAATTCATCTCTTCAACTAAGTACGATGAACTGCCTGTGAAAAATTCTATATGAATAAGAAATTCCAATTCATGTAATTTATGCAGATCACATCTACAACTCCAACTATCACGTCGTTAATAATTGACAGTTTATCTTGTAGACAAACTTTTTTCCAATCAAAAGTGTTCATAGCAGTCAAAATGTGTTCCATTACTCACCAGATGTGTGTGTAAAAACAAATTTATCCATCAAACTTCCTTTATCTTGGACTTCAAATCTGTCACTTATATTTAATGAGGCTATTGCAAGCAAACCTTTGTCTTTTTATTGGAAAAACACATTGAATAAAAATATTATGCAAAATGCCAGGAAAATCTACCATTAATTCAACATGTCCGATTGACCAGAGCGAAAGTGCTTATTACAGAAGGGCACAATATCATTCTACAAACCGTTTTGGAATTTTCCGTGAACTGTTGTGTGTTCCGTGATCCAACAATTTCATAGATGACACCGCAGCAAGACATTGGTAGTAACAAAGCTGGATCTATTACGAAAACGAGCAGAGATGAATTACTTAGAAATACGACCGATGAATAGTGCAATCTCTTCACTTTCCTCTTATAAAACCTTGGAATTTGTACTTTGATCTCAAAAGACATGTAAAAGTCATCTTTGCAGATAAATGATATCTCTCTTTCAAGTATTGTTCATAATTAGTTCGTGATGTATTTCATGGACGGAAACACATGGAAACTCATTTTTCTGGGTACAGATGTAAACTCTTCTTACAGATATGCGAGACCGCTAATGAACAGCTATCTGAACATGGGCACTCGAACGTACAACACGCACTGAGAAACTATAAGCCCCGCCAGGTTTCATATGGAGACAATGGAAAGTGCTTCTGATGGGACACCTCACATGTTTTCAGCGTAGCGGCTGCCCGTGACCCGAGCGGGAGTAGGAGAGGAGGAGCTGGGGCTCTGGCAGAGGATCGCCGGGATCACATGGAAAGCACGTCCTCTCGGAGCGCGGAGTCTCTGGCCTGGGCTCCCCAGCGGAATTGGGAGGAGTCCGGGGAGATGGTGCGGAAGGCACCGCGTGAGGCGGGCGACCGAGCAGCGATCACTCCCCGCTCTGCGCAGTCGAGGGACAGCGTGCTTCAATACTTGCCTGCAATCATCCGACCTGGGCAGTTTCCTATAACCTCTCTCCGCCTTTTCTTTTTTTGGAAGGAATAGGAGTGCCTTCCAACCTCTAAATTGTGCATGGGTGTTGCTTGATCGGCGGAGTCTACTAAACTGGTGGAATATTCCGTGAAAACCTCATGAGGCAGAGTAAACATCACAGAAACTTTAAACTTTGAAAATCTTGAATGGAAACATTGAAAAATGTATTGTTTAATCATTTTTAAATCAAGTGTACAACCTTGTTTACTAGAGTTCATCAAGGAATTATATGGTGCGCAGTGATCAGTAGCTCTTCAAAACTGTATCCATGTTACTGTTCCTCCAGTACGTCAACCTACTCTGCAATCCATCACAAGCAGAAATTGTAAAATCTTGATCGATTTCCCAAATACAAATCTTAGAGAACCGGCGTTAGAGAGTGGAGTTGGCAAACATCGATGCAACAAATTCTCTCCAAAATTCTTTCAACCAGCGTGCACGACTTTGAGGAGAGGAAAGAGTGTAAGAAGGAAAAGTTACACCTTATCTATCATCTGCATGTTTTGTAGATAAAAGCACCTTAAACCGGCATAATTGGAGGATTTTTTGGAATACATAGCAAAGTATGATAAAACTTAGTAGAAGAAACATGACTTGACCAGGGGTCGAGAAGGCTTACACTTTATTGATACTCTCATATCTATCATTCAGATCATTACTTGTTAAGTATGGCTCGTTGGTTTTTTGTCGTTGTTGTTTTTGTGGTTAGTTTTTACAAAGAAGAGACAAGAATAGTAATGGAGGATGTTTTTTGGAGCAGATAATTTGCCTCGTTGAGATAAAAAGGTTAAACAGCGATAAGCACATGTGTTCACTAATGGAAGACTATCATAATCCAGAACAGGCAGAAAGTAAAATTCAATGAAATGTATGCAAATTCGTTTCTGTTCTTATATTTAACACTAAGTATCAATGCTCTGCAGGCAGCACTTGAACCCGCAACACAATTCCATGTTTGTATTGTTCACGTCACATATCGATATTTGGCAGGCTCGCAGATTGAGCAACTGGGCCATTCACGTAAGAACATATTGTGTCAGAGAGCAAGCAGAACAATTCAGCACTTCTCGTCAGTGAAAGTTGAAGAACTTACACAACCGTTGTTAATTTTCTTATAACATGTCAAGAAAGATACAAGAGCCCAGGCAGGACTTGAACCTGCAGCACAGATCCATAAGTTGGAACGCTCTTGCATTGAGCTACTGGGCCAGTCACGTTAGGTGATAATGTGGCACAACACAAGAAGAACTCTTCACCAATTCTCGTCACTGCCTGTATAAGAACTTAATCTACCGCCGATTATGTTTTCACGACAGGTGAAAAAAATACAAGAGCCCAGGCAGGACTTGAACCTGCAGCACAGATCCATAAGTTGGATTGCTCTTGCATTGAGCTACTGGGCCATGTACTATGAGAAGTTATGACCGATGTTAGCACAAGAGTACAAGAACAAACCATTTTACCAGAACCACTGTGCTGTAACAGTTTATACCTTGATGCTTATTCGGTTAAATCTTCACACATACAACAACAAAACTGTAGCCCACGCAGGACTTGAAAACACAGCTCATACTCATGCTTATAAGTCTCTTGCATTGAGCTTCTGGGCCATTCAAAACACTAGACATGAAGACCGACTACAAGGGAATATGTAAGTATAATATAGCCGGACTGTAGTAGTAGTATACTGTAACTGATATAGTTGTGTGTAAAGCAGTGCATGCTTTACACACAACTCACGGAACCCACACAGATAATAATGCTGCCCAGGCAAGACATGAACCCGTAACAAAAATCCATGTTTAAAAGGCTAGCGCATTGATCTACTGGACAATTTACATCAGGGAATAATACAGTGACTTTGAACGTTTCTGCCAGCTTCATACACTCCGCACCCAAATGGTACCCTCTCACAGTCTGCAGTCTTAAAGTCGGCTCCCAAAGAGAAAAGGCAGAAAGAGAGTGACTTTGAACGTTTCTGCCAGCTTCATACACTCCGCACCCAAATGGTACCCTCTCACAGTCTGCATTCTTAAAGTCGGCTCCCAAAGAGAAAAGGCAGAGAGAGAGGTTGCTGGAGGCGGTTCACGTTTGATGATGGTCGGAAACCATTCAAGCACGCTGTCCCTCGACTGCGCATAGCGGGAAGTGATCGCTGCTCGGTCGCCCGCCTCACGCGGTGCCTTCCGCTTCATCTCCACAGACTCCATCCCAGGCCAGACTCTCTCTGTGTGGAGTCTCTGGCCGCCAGAGACTCCACACAGAGAGAGAGGTGGCAGAGAGAGGAGCCCAGTCCAGGGATTCCGCTACGCTATGCTGCCCAGATGTGAGGTGTCTCATCAAAAGCACTTTATATAGTCTCCGTATGGCACCTGGCGGGGCTTATAGTTTCTCAATCATTGTCGTAGGTTTGAGTGGCCACGTTCAGTGAGCTATTCATTAGCGGTCTTGCATATTCGTACACAAAGTTTACATCCGTATACATAAAAAATGCTTTTGCGTTCATCAGATACATACGAACTCAATTCTGAACAATACTTATTGAAGGAGACGGAGTATCACGCATATGCATGGATTATTTTAACATGTCTTTTGAGATGGAAAAAATAATAATATATAGCATAGATAAGGACCTTTGACCATTTCATTCTATATTTGTGAAGAGCAAGAGGCAAATGCACCTGAAAGGTACCTAGTAGCATATATTAGAAGTTGAAATGATGCCCAGCTTTAGAAGAACAGTTTATGCAAGTGGAGGGAGAGAGATGATTGAGGCAAAGTAATTTTTCCCACTACGCCCTCTTCTCCATTCTGACCTTTAGTCCAACTTATTTTGAAGGTGAGGGAAAAACAAATCGAGCACACTTTTTGCGGTGTTGACAACATGGATGGACAAGTGGAGCCAATTGCAGTCTGTACAAGGTGTGAGCTTCACTCAATAAACGAAGAGAACATTTTTTCGGCACATATCACAAAACTGGCCGAGTCTTTATAAGTTTGTAAACAATTTAACATTTATCAAATTGGGAAAGAAAAATCTGAATAGCCTACGGAGTCTTTATAAAATTCAAGACATTTTAATATTTATCAAAATTGGAAAAATATACCTGTACATAGTGAAATGGCTACCAATGAGCACGACCGCTAACTTGGAATCCAGCAGACTTGACTATATACTGTTGCAAGGAAAATGACGAAATGTCTGATTGGTGTCGGATCCAGATGGGCGCTGACATGCATCCCAAAATGCGTACCCCATCTTAGTGTGCAGAAAATAATTTCAGAATCTGTGCCACGGAAAATGGCCAATATGGCTGCTTCTCGAGCTAAGCGGTTTGCTCTGTTATTGCACAGTGAATACACAACATACACACAGTCTTGGTCAAAATTGAAAACAGGAATAATAACATGGTGCAGGTATATGGTGGTAGGTTTTATCATGGCAGTAGTAAAAATCACTCGGTCAAGTTCAGCAACACAAAATACGAAACGGTGAATTATGAAAACATACATATTATATTTATTACCTTGCGGACGACGTATAAAATCTCGAAGTGCTTCGAGACCATTGAGACTTTTCGGGAATTTATGTTCACGCCTTTCATTAAATATCATTGTCCAGTAATCGTGAGCTGATAACGATTTGAACATCCGGGGACGCTTTTCAGTCACAAGGCTGTCCGGAGCAGTCATGTCAGTTTGCTGTTCCAGGTAGTATATCGCCGCCAGAGACAAACGATGAGCTTTTTCATTCACCAGCACTTGGTGAACGACTGAATGGAAAATCGCATTGCTGAATATCTGAAAAGAAAAAGGGAGGAGGATGTGTGATTAGATTAATCTGCTGGTAGGATTACTTGAATTATGTGTATAAAATAATTGATATATTAGGTCACTTACATGTAAACAGTCTCCGATGTTTATTATGAGAGCTTCCGTCATAGGTTGCACTCCATACCACACGTCATTCTTTTTGACTTGCAGTCCTCCTGCCTCATCCTGGTACAGGACGGTCAGTAGGTTCGGATCCGTGTGTGCAATAGCCCCCAATGTTTCATTAGGACGTGGACAAGATGGATAATAATTCCACCGAAAGAGTGAGGAACCTTCGGGGAAACAGTGGTCAGAAAAAAACCCTGCCTCCAGCCCCAAGTATTCTGCAAGAAGATGAAGTACTTCTACTGTCAAAATTCGACAGCCCATTACAATCTCATTCGTACCGGATCTGTTTCATATTCAACAAAAACAGCATTCGGTCAACGTGACAAAGAAAGCGAATGCAGGAAATTAAGTGTATGTAAATTGAATTTTATGCACTCTGAAAATCAATATTACCTGAATGCTTCGTTTCCTCCGGGGAATATGAGGTCAGATGAACGAGTGACCTTTTCCGTTATTTTGGACCAGGATTTCCAGAGGCAAACCAAACTTTCTGCCCAATAAAGACTGTGGAGATCTTCTTTGGTATTGTCTCCGGTATAATAAACCTCAGTATCTAGTATTTTCAAGGGTTCCAACTCTAATTTGACCTTATTTTCACAAGGCCGATGGAAAAATAATTTCACTTCCTCTCCCACCGAGAGAAGTTCCGGAATAGAAACATTATGATTGATCACTTGAAACACTCCCCAATCTCGAGCAGCATCTCCGACCAGCTTCTTCAAAACGTTCCGGTCCTTGAGTGACATATCGATCACTGGAATTGGTCCCCAGTCGTCAAGTTTTGTGGTGGGTCTCAATTCGCTCGGAACTAAATGAGAACTGGGAATCTCTTCCATCCCATCGGTTAGTTCCAGAATCGAGGAAATAACCTCCTCTCCGCGTGCCACCATAATCTCCCTAATCTCCTGATTTCATTCGCAAAAGATAAACGTCAGCTGAAACTTGCATTGAAAATGCACTCCTGATTCCATTTGCAAAAGATAAACGTCAGCTGAAACTTGCATTCAAAACGTACAGAAGTTCAGAGATGATAGATCATACAGCAAGCAATGCTCTTTACAAAAGAGCTCGACTTCGTACGGAATTGAGGCTGCATGGTGCCTTACAGATACCCAATAGCAGCTGAACTTTGGCGATTCTCCCTCGCCCCGTGGAATAGAATTCCGGCTGAATTCCTGAGCAGATTTCAGATCTGTCGTCAATGTGAAGGGTAAAATTCCAATTCCAGTGAAATGGTGACAGGATTGAACAGCGTACGACTTCTCGAGCTCGCATCTAATCTGAGCTCGCATTGAGGTTGCATGGTGCCTTATAGATTCCGAATAGCAGCTGAACTTTGGCGATTCTCCCTCGCCCCATACAACAGAATTCCGACCGCTTCGCAAGTACGTCCAAGTATTCTCGCCGTAGTTGTCCCGATCGGCGTGGACCGGACCGCCACCGCGAACCGAGTAGCTCCTGCCAGCTGCTGCACACGTGTGAGTCGGGCGAACGCTCAACGGAACGTACAGTCCGTGACGAACCGCGAACCATCATCCTCGCAGTACGTCACGACGCACGGATGGAATTATCAGAAACGCTGAGGGATGTGACACGTCGCCTCCCGCGGTACCGGGTTCCGCTGCTAATTCGAGTCCTGCGAGGGGTGCAATCCGATTCCGCCACGTGTTCGTGAGCTCCAGCATCGGCGAATCTTGGTATCCATCCTCTGAAATATTCGCCGTGGTTAGGGGCCGCTGTATTCGCTGCAGTCGTTCTCATTATTATCTCTCGCCAGTTCGATTAGAATGAGATAATAATGAGTAATAAAAGAATATTATACTCGATTATAAACAAGAATTATTGTCTCGAGTCTCTCCGTTTCCTGACTCGCTCTTGAAAACTTGCGCTCTTAGAGACCGGAGTCCATGCAACCTCGTCATCGAAGCTCGCTGATTTATAGAGTCGGTTTGTTTGCAAGTCTCTGTCTGTGGCGGAGTCCGAAGCCATGCTCACTCGATGCCGATTGGGTATGCGTACTCTGCCGGGCGGATTCGCTTTGTTGCCATAGTTTGCCGAGATGTCAAAGCATGAGAAGACGGGAAGGAGAAAATGTGCTTTGATGGACGATCGGGAATCATCAGAGAGAGGTGTTCCAACACTTTTTGAGCATTTCACGAGCCATTTTGCGTCTAATTAGTTATCCAGTTGGATCTTTGATCCAGTTTACCAAAGGCAGTTCGCATGACATTTGCATGAAGAAGTCATGCGTATCGCGACTAGAAAGTGTTTAGATCTCCTTCATTTCTTCCGTGCTCTCTTTTCCGGAAGGACACTTGAAGTGAGAGAGACCCTTGAACACTCTTCCGGACACATAGACCTTCCGCATGACATTTTTATGAACAGGTCATGCGTACTGCCCTTGGTTAGCTGGATCAAAGATCCAATTTCGAGCCGCATTAAATTGGATGGAAAGAAGGACCAGCCCGGAATCTAATGCTCCTTGAAAACTCTTCCGAACACATATACCTTCCGCATGACATTTGCATGAACAAGTCATGCAAATGTCATGCGTACTGCCCTTGGTAAACTGGATCAGAGATCCAATTTCGAGCCGCATTAAATGAGATGGAAAGAAGGACCAGCCCGGAGTTTAATGCTCCAGTAGGATCTCCTCGTGGACATGACTCATGCCTTGTGCTATTGGTTCAAGTATTGGTTATGTATGACCTTACCTTGATCAGGCTGCATCTACATCCGATACCTGACTTCTGCTCCAGGACGAAAGAAGCTACTGGAGGTGCAGCTTATGTCGAGGAACGCCCTCCGAGTGGATGTGCCTTCCACATGATCCCGGCAGTCCTAGCCAGAGCCCCAGCTCCATCTCTCGTTCTCCCTCTCGGGTCACAGGCAGCCGCAACGCTGCCCAGATGTGAGGTGTCCCATCAAAAGCACTTTATATTGTCTCCGAATGAAAACTGGCGGGGCTTACAGTTTCTCAATCGGTGTCGTAGGTTTGAGTGGCCACGTTCAGAGAGCTATTCTTTAGCGGTCTTGTATATTCGAACACAAAGTTTACATCCGAATACATAAAGAATGCTTTTCCGTGCGTCAGATACATACGAACTCAATTCTTAACCAGACTTATTGAAAGAGACGGACGCATAAGAATAATCCATGAATCTGCATGGATTATTTTAACATGTCTTTTGAGATGGAAGTAATTTCCAAGATTAGTTTTGTAAAAGGAAAATGAAGAAATGGTACTATATATCAATCGATTTGCTTTGTAGTTCATCTGTGTTCATGTTCGTGATGAGTCCAGCTTTGTTATTACCATTGTTTGCTGCCATGATAAGTATGAAAGTTTTGGATCATTGTTATGTTCAACAATTCAGGGAACAATCAAAAACAGATTGTAGAATAACATTGTGCCCTTGTGTAATGTGCAATTCGCTCTGATCCATCATACATGTGGAAAGGAAGACATGTCTGAATGATGATAGGCATCCTCTCAAGAGTTTTGTCTCCTTCAGCGACCATGAATATTCTCTCATGTCCAACGTGCAAACATACTTGACAGACCTTCTCATTTTCATCAAAGATTACGATGTGAGCTTCTCAGTGAAAGCTTTTGACGATTTCACGGTCACAAAACGAGTCAAACGAAACAATTTGAACATTTTGTCCCGGGTCTTGTATGAAAACATAACAGATTATGCTGAAAAGTCGTGGACTGCTACATTCCGTTCTGGCTGGAGTATGGAATATTGTGGATACTGGAAAGCTCACATATATTTCATATAGATGGATTATAAATACTACCCTAGAAATTTTTATCTCATACAAGGATTTGATAAAGAGAAGCATTTGTGCAATATTACGGATTTTGAGAAAAACTTGCTTGGATGGCACGACTAATACATACATCCCTCTTCTAAATTTTTATGTGAATTTTTAACATTCGAAATCTATTTGTTTCAATTGCCGCTCCTAAATCTCCAAATTTCAAAAGCTTCATCTAACCCTCAATTAAATTGCTGGAGCCCAGGCAGGACTTGAACCATATCTATCTTTGGAATGCTCATGGATTGAACTCCTGGGCAACTACCAGGACATCATGACAAACTACAACCCAATTTCATAAATAATCACCACTGGTATGTGATACTTGATAGATTTACACAGTCGGTTATGATTTCGTATTAGACAAGAAAGAAAAAGCAGAGCCTAGGCAGGACTTGAATCCGCAGCACGGATCCATACCTTGGATGGCTTCCGAATCGAGTCACTGGGGCTTAAAATTTGATAGACAGGATGACCGACTAGAAGTAGTTAACGTAACCAGGCCTACTGGACTGCGACAATTGATAAATCTGCACTGCATTTGGTCATGTCTTAACAACAGACACCGCAAATATTACATCCGAGGCAGGTCTTCAACCTACAGCACAGACCTGTCACTTCGAGGATCTTGCGTTACCTACTGCGCCACTCACATGAGGAGACGTGAGGACTGACACCAGGAGTTGAACATGATCTGGTAAGACTGGGATTCCAGGCAAATACGGCAACAAGCACTATTTTTCTTGTATTGATTGTCTGAATCTGAGGCTTCCGCGGCCCTCTCGATTTGCAAAACTGAAGGTAGTTGCAAGAGAGGGAGATTTTCTCGGTCTTTCTCGCTCCATTCTCAACCCATATACACTCCAGTTCCGATTCCTAGAAGTTCCTCTCCATAAGCCCGGCCTGACTGGAATCAATTTGAACTCGACCAATTTAGGATGTGAGCCTTCTTCGTCTGTTTGCAATTGGCATGCCCCTGCAACACAAGACGAATAGAGCTCAACAGCAAAGAACTGCCACCCCTATACGTTTCAGAGCCTAAAGGACTTCTTCGAAATTGTCCCTTCTCGCGATAGAGTGTCATGAGTGAGGGTGATGTTCTCTATTGCATTGGTGGCCAACGCGCGGCACTTATGTAACGGCCGCACAGGGGGTAAATATGTAATTGTCCCCCGCCCCTATCTAAATCTCCCGGCACCCGTCGACACGGCGAACCCACAATTCGAGGCACACGGTGCCACCCCCGTCCCAATCCGTCTCCTTTCCTTCCTCCGCTACTTTCGTTCCATCTACCTGAGGTTTCAAAAACCACCCACCGACTGTCGATTCGCATCTTTGATTCAAAAATTCCTCCCTCCTGCCAACCGAACGACCGACCACCTCTCTCAAGAAAAACGATAGCGACCAGCAATTTGCTCTTCTCCTCGCCTTTTCCCCTCTCTAGCTCTCTCTTCCCATTCCAAACCCAACGTGCTGCTTTCTAATCATGTGTGACTGTGTCCTTCCAGTGTGACCAAATATGTCCTTCCAGTGATATATTTTGTTACAAGAAAAGATCCACATATCTCGCCATTTTCTTCCCTTGAGAAAAATTCTGTAATAACCCACCCAAGGCTAAAACTGCAGTATAGCAGCAACAAGGTTGAACCCACAGGGACAGAGACAACACATAGAGTACAAAGTGTCACGTTTAACAGACTATTGAAGAGTTTGAATTCTTAGGCGACTGTCACTCCCAGAAATACTGCAAGTGCTCAACTCGGAGGTCACTCGGAGGACGCACAGTGTAGCGTAGTTCACCCCAACACACACTTGAAACTATAGAAACACAACTCAGAGGTCGGTTAGGACCTCTACTTAAGATTTCAAGGGGAAAGTCTCTCACGAGTACATTCAGCGGATCTGCAGGTAGTGACTCCCAACTCCGGCTTTTACAACCCTTCCACTAGTTTCTGCTAGCACAGGGCACCCGGGTGGGACTTCCTACTTCGGATGCGGTATCTTCGTCAAACCGAAGTCACTCACACGCGGTGAACAACACACTCAACTCACAAAACGCGCAGAGAATACAGGTCTAAACTGAAAAACTCAGCTGAGAAAAGATCCAGTGGCACACCATAACAGTCTATTGACGAGTTTGAACTCTCAATCACTAGTCATTTCCAGAAATACTACAGAGGTTTGCCCCGAGGGCGCCTTCTGCAGCGTAACCTGAATTACAACCAAGGCTTACTCGAAGTAACAAAACTTCACTTTAGCATTCAGGGGAAACATCCCGAAGGAGTACAATCAAGAACAATCATCCGAAGGTGTAAGGACGAACTGCTCAAGTATCTAACCAGTTCCTAGCTCTAAGCATTCAGCAATCACCTGCAGGTGTAGATCCAGACTGCTCAAGTATCTAACCAGTACATTGGCTCTGAACATTCGGCCGAAGGCCTTCAGCTACAAAATGCGGTATCTTCGTCAAGCTGTAGCTCCTCTTGCGCGGTGACAGAACTAAGGACACAAACACCTAGAGAAAATGAGTTCCTGATCTGCACTTCCGAAACTGGAAGAATCCCAAGGCAAGACGCC